AATAGAATAAAAAGCAAGAAAGAGAAAAATCAAGAAAATAAAAGATGGAAGGGTTAATTAAAGATATGAGAAATCTAGAATTGAATCCACTAGCCAATCTTAATTATTAAATACAAACTATTCTCTTTTTGTCATATTTTAATTTAGATTTATTAGGCATAGATTATCAAACCATTTAAGAAAAGTATAACCTATCAAATTATCATCTAAGTCAAAATTACAATTCATGGTAAGAACAACAACAAGATAGTAATCCTAGAATTCATAAGCATAACCTATCAAACCATTTAAGATAAGCATAGATTATCAAATTCTTCTTCTACCAATTAGTTTTCTAGTTGATTATCCTAAACATGAATATTTTAAGTACAAGAGAATAATTCATACAATATAAAAGAAATTAGACTAGTTTCATACAATTCTAAGATTCCTACAAGAATTAATTTCATATCTTAAGAAATAAAAGTAAGAAGAAAAAGAACTAATTACAAAAATAAAAAGAAAAAAAAATCTAAACTATGAACAAGAAATAAATCTAACTACAAAGAATTAAAATCTAAACTACAAAATAAATTACAAAAATTAAATGCAAGAAAATAAATCTACTCTACAAATTAAAGTCCAAAAAGAAATAAAAAGACAAGAAAATAAATCTACACTACAAGCATGAATGTAAATCTAACTAATAAACAATAATAAAGAAATTACTAAAAAGAAATAAAAGAGAAAAATAAAAGAATTGCAAACTTTCAAACTTTTTTTCATCTCCATCATCATCATTCAACAAAGAGAAGAAGATTTGAAGTGGAGAATTTTTTTTTATTAATTGTAACAAAAATTACAAATTTGGAAGTTCTTCTCAATTAAGAGTAACCCTCCTCTCCAAATAGAGTTACAAAATTTTTCACACCTCTAACCCCTCACTCTCTACCCCTATTTATAGTAAACATTAGTGAATGAGAGCCATTGGATTGAAATCTTATCCAAATACAACAAATTTAAGCCTTTGGATTGTAACTGCCTGGCCGATGGTATCGATGCCAGCATCGATAGGCGTATCGATGCTGGCATTGATACGGGCATCGATGCTGGCATCGATGTCCCCATCGATGTTGGCATCGATGTGAGGTCCTCTCCAGTGTGATGTTCGCAGCTCCTCTTGTATTTGGGCTTGGGCTTTTGGACTTTGGCATTTTTTTTCTTTTTGGCTTTGGCTTTGCCATTTTTTTTCTTCTTTTTAGCTTTAGGCTTTTCTTTATTAAATCAAGGGGCCTTTGTTGAGAGATGAGATTTTTAGGATTTATTCTTCATTAACCTGCATTTAAAGATAAAAACAATTATTAGTGGTATATTTATTCATATAAAATAGATAATAAGGGTATAAAATTAAAATAAAATATGATTATCAAATACCCTCACACCTAAACTTTTGCTAGTCCTCTAGCAAGGAAATAAAAAGAAAATCCTAACTCACTTTCGCAAGAATCGCAGTTGTATTTAGCGCATACAGCAAACCTTTAAACCCCTACGTTACCCTAGTGGACTAGTTATAAGTCTCGTGAGGATTTACAGTGAATATACCCACAAAATTCGGTCAACTTGCCAAGTTAAAGAAGTTAGTAAATAACTAATTTTCTTTGATATATTTATACATCTTAATTTAAGCTAGTTAATACTCAAGAAAAAAAGTTTATATATAACTCCAAGGTAAATTCCCTAGAAAATGTTCTCATTATAGCAATACAAAACCAAGTCAAATCTTAGAAATTTAATTTAAATTTTTTGAAAGGAACATGCTAACTCTTTGTTTTAAATAACTTTCAAGTCTCTTGATCAAAAATTATTTTTCAAGACCATATATACAAAATAACAATATATATAAAAAAATGGTTAGTGTTATATATATATATATATATATATATATATATATATATATATATATATATTCACTCTTTAATTCTTGGTGATTTTTTTCTATTTAATTGGGCTTTCTAAGTGACTATTTAACGAGTTTTGGGCCAATGAATCCTAACCCAATTGGGCTTAGGTCATTAAGTATAGAGATACTCTTTGGGCTTAATTACTCAGTCAACTTAGGCTTTATAAGATAGAATCACCTTGAATTTAAGAGTTTTTTTTTTGTGTCCATTTTCCGCACTCTTCTTTTATAAGGTTAATTTTTTTAATATATATGTGTGTAACTATATATATAGTCTGAAAAAAATGTGTAAATCAAGATAACCTGAAAAATATTTTCAACGCTAAGTTAAGCATGCAAAAATTTCATTATTTTTAATTAAAAGTCTAAGTTAAGGCTTAAGTAAAGTATACTACTTTGAAAAATTATTTCTTAAAAAATTTATTTGGAGTTATCATAAAAGGTAAACTTGAGTATATCACTAACTAGGAATTAGAATATTTAAAAATCTATCAATTAGATCAATTATTACTTAACTCTATTAATTGGCAAGTTTTTTTTACTTAAAACTAACGAAAGATAAATGCTAAAAAAAATATTACTGAAACAAAATACTAGCTAGGAAAATATAAACAAAAGGCTAACTAGCTTACACCCCCATACCCAGATTTTGCAGAGTCCTCAAGGCAAATACTGACAATAATATCTAAAATATCACAGTTTAATAAGTACATGCCGAAATAAAAATCAAAGACTGAGTAAAATAAAAAGAACATCCCTCACTGCTCATCTCCTGATAGATCGTCATCCACATCATCAGCGACAGCTGCTGAACTCAGTCCCGCCTCATCCTCTCCTGGGAAATCATCTGGCTGAAATGGTGTGATAAAACTATGAAGCTCACGTGCAGGTCCATCTGTATTTCCATGTTCTCTTTGCCATCCTCTTGCCAAATATGTCAATGTCTCGGTTGAGTAGCCTATCTGACCATGCATCCCGTGCATTTGACGCTGCATCCTGTGCATTTGAATCTGCATCCTGTCCATACGACTCCGCATCCTATCCATCTCCGCTCGAATGGGGTCATGTGTATCTGACTGGTGCTGAGGAGGCTCTCTACCTGAAGGACCGGACTGATCTCGCCCTGAAATGCTCCTCCTCACAGTCTGATCATTTAGTAACCCCTTCCCTGCTTCTAACCTATCCTTTGCAAATACCGGAGCATGAAATCTATGGCAGAGTCTAGTGATGAAATAGGGGTAAATCTGAGTTCGTGATGCAGACTGTGTCTTGACCCAATCCAACACGCCCTCCACTGATGAGTGCATCCATACAAATATAATCTTTGCTACATCAAACCGCTGACCAGTGGTTATCCAAAAAAAAAGAAGAATGTCGTGGGGGGTAATGACAGAATATGCAGTGGTGGGTTTTAAATCAAAGTGTAGGAAAAGATTAAGCAATCTGTATTTTGGTTTGAGATTTCCTGAACCGAAATTAGATGTAAAGATCCTCCCACACAAGGTTGTAGACATGTTATTGTATTCTGGTGTACCAGGCTGTAATGTAGAGGCTAAGTGGAAGTAATCTGGTACATCAGTGGGTGGTTCTGCAAGATCAAGGGTAGCACGGATAGTGGAAAGATCGAAAACAACCCTAACACCCCTCACTATAGAAAAAGCTAAAAATTCTCTATCTGGATTAATTTCTCATCCAGAATAGAACTCATGGACTAATGAAATGTTTGCTTTCTCTAGGGGTTTAGTCATCATGCTCCTAAGACCTACTGCAGTTAACATGGTGATTGTGGATTGATATGTCTGTAAAGCACTCATCTGAAAACCTCTCTCAAAATGAACATTAAGACCCACAATTCTGGCTAAAATTGTGGGTCTATCTACATCGGTATCAAAATGATCTTGAGAGGATGATGAACTTGCTCGGGATTTCTTTCTCGGGGGCATCTACAAAGAAAAAAAAAATGACATTTTAATAACAAAATTCCAAGTTTTTTTTTAAAAAAAAATTAGCTATAAATTGTTCAATATGAGTTAATTTCAAGTTATCAAAATTTTGTTTTGACAAAAAAAAATCCTCAAAATTATTCTTTTAGAACAAAAAATTGTCAAAATTTTGATAACTTGATCGGTGAAGCATACATGTTGATATGACAATTATCAGCCAAACCTTATAAATGTTGAATAAAACATTCTCAATTATCCAATACAAATTTTCGAATGTGAGAAGAACCCAATTTTAACTTTTATTTGACCAATTACTCATATTTCATAAGTTGAACTATGAATATTTGAATTTTCGAAATTTGCACAAAACATCACAAATTCAAATTTTAATTGGAATTTATTGGTAAAATACCCAAGTTGAAGGTCTGAAAGTTTTTGGTTTGGCACAAAACATCCCAAAGTCCAATTTCGTATTTTTCATGAAACCCCCAAGAAATTTTGGATTTGCATAAAACACCCTATTTTTAAAATTTTCGATTTTTACACAAACTATTCCCAATTTTTTTTTAGATTTTTTTACAAGATATCCTCAATTGAATTCCAAGTTCAAATTTTTGTTTTTTTGCACAAAACCCCCTAAGAAATTTTTGGATTTTGTATAAACCCCCCAAATTTTTGGATTTTGGACAAAATCCCAATTATACCCTCAATTTGTCAAATTGATCAAATTTTATCATGAATCAACACCAAACTATGATAATAATCCAAAACTATTTATGATTCATCCACTAGATCATCCATGTATTCATTCAAAAATTAAAAAAAATGAAATTACAAGATCAAGTTAGAAAATATACCTTGGGGAGATGATGAAGAAGCCCAAGAAATTGAAGAAAAATCCCTCCAAGTGGTCTTGATTCCGTATAAGTTTGATGGGTGAAATTAGGGTTTTAGAAAGGGGGAAATCGGGTTTTGGGGAGATGGAATGAAACTGATTCGTACGCATTGAGGCGATTTTGGGTTTTTTCGCAAAAAAAACTCCGCTAATTGACTTCGAACTCGTGATCGTACTTGGGGATTGAAAGAGGGAGCTTTTTTGCAAAATGTCACCGAAAATCCAAGCCAACATCAGCGAGATCTTCAAGTCTCGTGACCCAAAATCTTTCTCTCTCTCTCCGAAAAAATCCCCAATCCCTCCTCCATCTCCAATCGGAGCTCCCCCTCCATCTCCAATCCGCCATCTCCAACGCCGACGATCTCCCAAATCACCCATCTCCAACCGGAGCTCCCCAGATCCACCTCACCACCACGAACCCCACGACTACAAAATTTGAGACCGCCTCCTCTGCCACGACTACGACGTCTGAGACCGCCGACTTCCCCAACTCATCCGATGCCGACGACGATTAAGTCCAACTCCGCCGACCGTGACTGATTATCCCTAACTCCCTCGAGCTCGATCTCGAGATCCCCTAACTCAGGTAACCATCAAGCCCCAAATTTGTTTACCTATTTTCGACAAATGCTTCAACCTCTCCTTTTTCTAATGCAATTTCAGCTGAAGTAAAGTGTTGGAGTTTATGTAAAACCATGGTGAATACTCATCAATTGTCAACAACAGTTTTGACTGCCAATCATCAACTTCCCTTTTTTTCCTTTTAGTTTTGTTAATGAATATTACAAGTTTTGTTAATGAATAATCACTTACCTGTACATTTTTTGTTAATGAATATTACAAGTTTTGTTAATGAATATATTGCCCCAGGGTAAAATTAGCAAATCTACTTGAGAATAAAATAGTAAAAAACTAACCCCGGAAGCCTATCTGCAAAAATAAAACCATATGGGTAATAAGTTTGAAATAACGATACTTTATAAGCAGTGGCGTAGCCAGGATCATTTTTTTGCCCAACTCAGGTAACCATCAAGCCCCAACTCACATTTATATAGTTCTGGGGGGTTTTCATTTTTATGCGATCAGAAAAGAACTAGGTACTAATGTCGAAAATTAAGTCTTTTTTCCCTATATTATTTTCTGTTTCAGATTGCCTCCATTTTTTTATAGGTCAATTACAATTTTTGTGAGAAATGGAAAACTTGGGCACTGAAGCTAATGAAGTAAACTTGGACGACGATGATTTGATATATACTCCTCAAGTATCAGATGAGTTGAGGCCAAAAAAGAGGCATGAATTTGACACAATAGATGATGTTGTGACATTCTACAATGCTTATGCTAAAGCAGCTGGGTTTAGTGTAAGGTCTTGGACTACTCAGAAAGAGCCGGGAAGTTGTGAAATAAGAAGGAAGAAGTATGTTTGTTTTAAACAAGGAAAATCTTTAAAAATCGCGGATGTTGGAAAGAAAAGACGTCGAGGAAGCTTAGCTGAGGATTGTACTGCTAAAATTGCAGTTTTAAAATCAAACTCCGAAAAATACATTATTACTGTTTTTAATGAGGAGCACAGTCACCCGCTATCAACACCATCAGAGGTTCATCTTTTGAGGTCCCATCGTAACGTTTCAGCTGCAACAAAGTCTTTAATTAAACAACTCTCCATGGTGAATATACCTCAGCATCAACAATTTAGTTTTCTTGGAGTACAATCTGGAGGTATAGAAAATATTGGGTGCACTCAAAGAGATTTGTATAATCATGAAAGGGATATACGTGCTGATATGAAGGGGCACGATAGAGAAATGTTTTATGAGTATTTAAAATTAGAACAAGGAAAGAATCCCTCATTGACTTTTCAAATTGAGGCTGATGAGGAACAAAAGATTACTCGTTGTTTTTGGTCCGATGCAAGATCAAGGCGGGCTTACAATTTTTTCGGTGATGTTGTAATCTACTTATAACACTAATCACTATGGCCTTATATTTGCACCAATAATGGGGGTTAACAATCATGGTCAAACAATTGTTTTTGCTTGTGGATTTTTGAATCATGAGAGCGTTGATGATTTTGTATGGTTATTTAATCAATTTTTAGAAAGTATACCTGGTGGTGCCCCGAAGATGATTATTACCGATCAAGACCCAGCTATGACTAAGGCATTCCCTCTTGTTCTTCCAAATACTTTTCACAGGTATTATAGTTTGTACATATTATTAAAAAAAAAATATTTATATGCATAGTCTTTCTTTTTAACACTTTATTTAATTCTTTTGACAGGTATTGTAGTTGGCATATATTAATGAAGTTTTCTGAGAAAATTGATGCAGTGAAGTATAGTATTTATAAAAGTGAGTTCTCGGCTTGCATTTGGAAATCAGAGACTCCTGAAGAATTTGATTTACAATGGGAAAGTCTGATTAAGAAAAGTGGGTTAGAAGAAAATAAGTGGTTGCAAGACCAATATGAACTTCGGTCAAGATGAATTCCTGCATATGTTAATCACATTTTCTCAGCAGACATGTCAAGTAGTCAACGAGCAGAAAGTGGACATGCAGTCTTCAAGAAATTTGTTTCGAAGAATAATTCATTGGTTGATTTTATGATACAGTTTGGCAGGGGATTAATGCGCCAACGACATGAGGAGTTGATGGTCGATCACAAAGATGTAATTGAGAAACCTAAACTTAGTGGTTGCAAGACCAATATGAACTTCGGTCAAGATGAATTCCTGCATATGTTAATCACATTTTCTCAGCAGACATGTCAAGTAGTCAACGAGCAGAAAGTGGACATGCAGTCTTCAAGAAATTTGTTTCGAAGAATAATTCATTGGTTGATTTTATGATACAGTTTGGCAGGGGATTAGTGCGCCAACGACATGAGGAGTTGATGGCCGATCACAAAGACTTGATTGAGAAACCTAAACTTAGAATAAATCTTGACTTTTTGGAGCAAATGGTTGATATTTACACGAATGAGATCTATTACAAGTTTGAGGCTGAAGTGTGTGACAGCTTTAACTATAAGTTGCAGTTTGTTAGGGCAACCGACAATCAGAGTGTGTATCAAATTCAAAGAAAGAAGCTCGCAACAAGTAAAGTCCGTGAAATTGTTTACGACAAGGACTTGGATTTGGTTTCTTGTAGTTGTAAAAAGTTCGAAAGCGCCGGAATTCCATGTACACACATTATATCATATTTGATGAAAATTGATGCTGAAATATTGCCTAATAAATACATCTTAAAGAGGTGGACTAAGTGTGCAAAATTGGGGACAGTGTATGATGATAAAGGCATGCAGATAAGCCCTGACAATTCTTATCTTTTAACGCGGAGTCAATTTATCCAATCATCTTTGGAATTAGTTGACAAGTCCCTTGTATGTGAAGAAACGAGGAAGATGTTTACCGATGGAGTGTGTATCATTAATGAGCAAATCGACCAATTTCTTAGTAGCCACATGGTTAGTGGCTGCACGGTTGCAAAGAGCTTCAACGAGAAAAATAATCAAATGAGTAGTAATTTAATGGATGATGGTACTAGTGTGCAGGATTCTTGTACTTTTCAAAATAGTTTCAATGAACCCGATCAAGTGCGAGCAAAAGGGTGCGGCAAAAGGTTGAAGGGAGGAAAAGAGAAAGCAATGGCTAGAGCAAAAAATAAAAAAGATAGACGTTGCCACGGGTGTGGTAAAGTAGGCCAATCATATGATAAGCGAAATTGTCCGGCACTCACAAATCCGTAAGTAGTAATTCTTTTATTATTTAAGCCTTTCTTATTCTTCACCTTCGATTATCCCCTTGGTGTATATATGTATATTTTCATTATAATGTAGGTCTTCTATATGCGGTGATACAAATTGGCAAGAGGGTAATGGGTCATCAAGTGAAGATGGGGATGATGTGCTCCTATGAAGACGGTCTTCTACATGCTTCTTTTTTGCCAGATTTAGTGCATATGGGTACTGTGATATCTATTGGTCATTTTAATGACATGCTCATCATCCAAGTGTTACCTTCTGTTTCAGATTTATTACATGAAATATCCATATCATTTTAATGACATGCTCATCATCCAAGTGTTACCTTCTGTTTCAGATTTATTACATGAAATATCCATATTTCCTTCTAACTCTACAAATTAGATTACATCTGATGTATACTTGTTGCACGCTCCTTGCAGGTACTGTATTCAAGAATGAAAATTTACAGACGTGATGTTTGATTCAGATAGATGCAGGAATTTGTTGTCTCCTACTTGATGTATAATAGCTGTAGTAACTAAACTATGTTTGATTGTTTGATGGGATTTATTTTCTTGACAAGGTGCAATTCAGGCTGTTGATTAGTTGAGAATGTATGTTTCGCTAATGAATTTGTATGGTCTTTTAATTCGTAAGGTGCACATTTTAGCATGTTGATTAGCAGAGAATTGTTTGTTTATTTTGCTGGTGAATTTGTATGGTAAGTGTGGAAATTTCTGTGGTGAGGAATATTTCTTGCAAGCGGAGTGAATTGATCTTTTTCTTGACAATGTGCATTTTAGCCTGTAGATTAATTGATAATGTTTGTATAATCTACTAAGGGATTGATATGGGAAGTATGAAGCCTCAGTGGGGAAGGATGTTTCTTGCATGCAGTGCGAAGTGCTATTGTGCTCCCAGGAAGTATAAAGGAAATTTTTGCTTGTAATTTTTTGATATGGCAAGCAGGTAGTGAGCTATACAAAGTTATGTCATCAGTTTGAATTATTTCTTAGAGATTTAATGAAATGGTATATACTTTGTGGGTGAATCTACAACATTTTCCAGCAGAAAGTGTGGTTTGTGCCTTCTGTCTCATTTCCAGTTCAAGGTGCAGATTTCATTTACTAATTTGCAGATTTCAAGGTGCAGATTTCATTTCCAGTTCAAGGTGCAGATTTCATTTACTAATTTGTGATGATTTGTGCCTTCTGCCATAATTATTAGCATACAAAAATAATAAATTGAAAAGCAACAAGACATGATAACTCAGCCAATACATATCATTAAAACATAGAAAGCACTCCCATGGCATAAAGATCATTTACTTATGATTAACAGAAGTTTCACGGTTATAGGATTATTATCCAAACAACTATGAAGAACCACACAGCTACATGTTCTCATATCTCAATGCAGTGCACCTGATACACAGAACAACAAAAACTCATATGAGGAAGCAGATATCACTAGTTTCACACAAAATGAGTGAAAAAAGTAAAAACAGAACAACAAGACTCATTTATACAAAACATAGGAAGGCACGAGCAAAACTTGAAAGATGGGCAACAAACATGTCAGATTAGCAAACATGTCAGTTCAAAGAAAGTAATGAACCAATGCAAGCTCCAAATGAATACAATTAGACTCCCGAGAACTCCTTAAATAATATCTGATTCCCCAAATTATGTAAGTTTATCCAACCAATGTAAGCTCAGCCACAAATTACATCACATGTTTTTTGCAATGGAGAAACCAACAAATACCGCAACGATACATACTAGAAATACTAATATTGTAAACAATGAACCTAATACAAAAGCATAGATAGAGAAAATAGAAGTTTCCCCATGTTTTTCCTTGTCCACATCCAGATTATGGCTCACTGGATATCTTTGTTCTTGAGCATAAACAAATGTTTGGACAGGCCTCGAGCTGGATGCTGAATCACGAGCGAGTGTGTGCTTCTCCCATTCAATCAAAACCTCTTCGTATGTTGCATACCCTTTGTAGGAGGCATTTGGGAACTTATCTACCTGAGATTTGCATTCCTCCCAATTATTAAAACTACCACATCGTCGACCTCTCTTCACAACATAAAAACTTTTCCTAGCCATGGATAACCTGAAAATACCCCAAATTAGAGGGTAAACAAAATTTTTACAAATGATCAGTTAGCAAGCAAAGTTAAAAAAAGTAATTATTTATCCTACGCACTGAATACTTTCAAATTAATACCCAATACCATTGTGCTCAATCAAACTTATTTATCCTACGCACTGAACACTTAAATTGGAACATACCATTGTGATCTCACTTCATTAACTTATCTAGACAAGAATTTGTTATATAAAATCATAACCAACGTTCATCAATGTGTACTAAATAGATAAATGAGCATGACATTAATATTGGTCTTACCAACTTTGGTAAAGATAGTTGAAGTGCTTGTCAGCTGTAATAAGGATAAGATTCTACAAATAGTATATCGACAAAGGTACCATCTAAACAAATAGCTATAAGCTTTGGGAGTTGCCCTTAAAGATAATTTTAAGATCAGATTACAGAGAGGAAAGTGCCCTCAGGCTTACTTGTTATCCACAAGTGGGATTAACGTGTCTCTTTTATCATTAACAAACAACTATAGTATTGCAATTAAAAGGGAACCTTATCTTCAAAGCCTGAAGGGGTCAGCTCCCACGATGTATAACTTTTGCTTTCAGGTACATTTTTTACTTTGGTTTCTATATGCAATATTTATTATATTTGTTGAAGGCTATTTGTTGAAGGCAATGTATATGAAGTGCAGGGGGGTATAGATTAGTACTCTTGAATTTTGACGTTCATAAATCATATCGAAGATCAGGTCGTCTACTAAAGTTGATATTTTAGTAACATGACACAATCTTCAATTTGATATTTATTTTCAAGAGTTAATTTCACATACATCCATATAGTATCATTCTTTCGCACTTGGTACCCCTATAATTTTATTGTTGCGTACAGACTCTAGAGGGTTTTTTTTTTTAAAAGTCTCGTACCCCTGGTTAAATTTTGATAGCATTGCTCCAAGACGAGATCAATGGGTTTTTTAAATGCATAATATCTCATTAATTCGACTACCCAAATTGATACCCAATACCATTGTGTTCAATCAAACTTATTTATCCTACGCACTAAACACTTAAATTGGAACATACCATTGTGCTCTCACTTCATTAACTTATTTATCTCAAACAAATCACCAAAATAAATAAATAAAAAGCCTAGCTCAATCAAACAATACATGAATTAGGGTTTAGGGTTTGAAGATTCTGGAATCGAATGTGATACCTCGTCGCGACCCGTCGCTGTCCAAACGCCTCTGAATCCTCCTCCTCGCGACCTGAGTTGGGGGATCTCGCGACCGGCGGTGATGGGGTTGTCAAAAGCGGGGGATATTGTCAGTGATTGGGATGTCGCGGCCGGCGGTGATGGGGTCGGCGTTGTGCCCTCCAAAGATCACACCTCCATCGAACTCACCTGCACCGATCGCCCTGGCCTCCTCTCCGATGTATGTGCTGTCCTCTCAGACCTCAGATTGGGATGTCGCGGCCAGCGGTGATGGGGTCGCGGTCAGCGGTGACGGGGATGGATTTGGGGGAAGTCGGTGATGGGGATTTGATTTTGGGGATAACGAGAGTGGTCATGAGAGGGTTTTAAGAGAGATGCTTTCGGTGACATTTTGCAAAAAAACCCCATCTTTCAATCCCCAAGTACGGTCACGTGTTCGAAGTCAATTAGCAGAGTTTTTTTGCGAAAAAACCCAAAATCACCTCAATGCGCGAAATACGCGGTGCATAGCGAGAAAGGCGCCTGATATAATTATATATTATAATATATATATTATATATTATATTAGTATATATAGTATATTATTATATATATTATATATATTATATATTCTTTTTCTTTCTTTTTTACAAACCATGTGGTTCATAAAACAACAGCCTCCCCTTACAATTTTTTCTTCATTTTTTTCTTTTTTTTTCTTACGGGCTAGTGGAATATGGCCGATTTTGTTTTTAATAGTGAAGACAAAAGGTGTTATATATTTACTATATATTTACTTATTATTAAGTGAAAAACAAAATGAGGAAATATATATTCTTTTTTTTTCCTTTATATATTATATTATATATATATTATATATATAATATTATATTTATATTATATATATATATATATATATATAATATAATATATATTTATATTCTTTTTATTTATTTATTTTTTTACAAACAATGTGGTTCATAGAGAATCAATACCTCCTCCTCTACGAGTGTAGAAAATTCTAAAAATGGTTTTAGACGTTGACCATTAATTTTAAAAATGTCACAATTTTTAGGATTTTCTATCTCGGCAGCCCCATGTGAGAAAACTTGTTTTACAATAAATGGACATGTCCATCTTGATCTTAATTTCCCAGGAAAAAAATACAATTTTGAATTGTATAATAAAACTTTCTATCTTGGAGAGAAATTTTTTCGTAAAATTGATTTGTCATGAAAAATCTTAGTTTTTTCTTGGTAAATTTTTGAGTTTATGTATGCATCATTTCGAATTTCTTCCAACTCATTTATTTGGAGCAATCTGTTCTTACCTGCCGAGTCTGAATCAAAATTTAACTATTTTATTACCCACATTGCTCGATGCTCCAACTCTACTGGTAGGTGACAAGCTTTCCCAAACACCAGTCTGTATGGTGACATCCCCAAATTGATTTTGAAAGCTGTTCTATATGCCCACAGAGCATCACATAATTTTACAGACTAATCTTTTCTGTTATGATTAAAGCTGTTCTATATGCCCACAGAGCATCACATAATTTTACAGACTAATCTTTTCTGTTATGATTAACTAATAACTATTTTTTTAAGATTTGTTTGATCTGTCTGTTTGTGACCTCTACTTGACCACTGGTTTGGAGGTGATAAGGAGTCGACAATTTGTGTGTGATTGAATATTTTCTCATCAAAGCTTCAAAAGAACGGTTACAGAAATGTGTACCGTTGTCGATAATTTGTGTGTGATTGAATATTTTTGATGAAGACGATGAAGACGGAGGCGGAGTCGAAGAAAACGAAGACGAAGTCGCCGAAGACGATTCAAAGGATTTCCAAAGGGTTGTTGGCGGCGGCGGCGTTGAGAGGAAGAGGGTTCGAAACTGAGAAAGTTTGTTGCGGACGACGAGGGTTTCGATAATAGCGCTCAGAAAGGGATTGTGGGAATAGTACAGTTTTAAATTGAGAAGGGTAATTTGAGAATGCAGTTATATGGGTATTGGGTCTGTACACTTTTGGTAGTTAGTTACTTTTATTTTTCTGTATAAGGGCTTTGGGTTATGGTTCTTAGGCTGGGAGTGAGGATGCATGGCCCAATTATATTTAGTTCCTCCAAGCAATTTTTCCTAATGACCTGTTTGGATTTGCAGGGGGTGAAGGGAAGTTAAGGGAAACTAGGTGAGAGAATGGAGGGAAAGGGAAGGGAGTTCCCTTCCCCTTGGTTACACCCCAATTTGGGGGGTAACAAATTTTATACTATTAGGGGATGAACCAATGGGAACTAGGGTGAATAACTTCACCTCCTAACTGTTCCCAAACAAAGTGAATGGAGGTGAATGATTCCCCTAACTTCCCTTCATCCTTATTCCCCTCAATCCAAACAAGCCCTAAAATGATAGTTCTGCTCTGCCCTGCTTGCTTAATTTGACATATAATTCAAACTTATGAATTTTAGAAGCAGTAGTGCTGCCACGCGAGTAAGTAACTTATGGGTAAATTTAGCCCCAATGTGGCGTGATTTTTAATTTTATACAGGGTTCTCATGTTTTGAGCATGATGTTGTCACAGCGACCAATTATATCTCAACGAGTAAATCAACCTAAAGCGTTGCGAATGAGAACCCAGTCACATAAATTCACATGAGAAACATCAGGAAACTACATAACATAAACATATGAACCGACTGCGCGCGGAAAAAACGTATCATTGAAAATTCCAAAGAATAATCGCGCGGAAAAAACGTATCATTGTAAAATTTGCAATCTAATGCACTATTCTAATATTCTAATTAAATAAGAATTTATAATATTGCAGTCAGTTCCTTAAAATTAGACCTTAAAAATTAGAAAGCGAGAATTAGTGTCAATATTGCTCCTGCCAATAAAACGTTCTAATGAAACAACAAAACTAATTTCTAAAAGGAAATATATCTAAATTAACCTAATAATTAAGGGTTTCTTCAAGCAACAACAATTTCTCAGTTAAAACCTCTCACCTGATAATTTCCAATACCTCCCAACCCAGCGTAAGCATCTGTTGCTACTGCCTCCGTCCTCTTCATCGTCGTCGTCCTTCATATCATCACCGGTGAGCTCGTCAAGGGTCAGGGTTGGGTTCTTATTTCCCCCAATCTGATGAGTAATCTGGAGGAAGGAGAAGATAGGGTTGATTTTTGGATAGTGGGGAGCTAATAAATTTAGACTGCGCGTGAAAGGCCCTCTTTATACCCAAATAAATTAATTAATTAATTAAAATAAAATTAAAATAAAAAAAGTGCACATGAGAGAGTAGCATTATTGTGCCTCGTTTAACGCCCATGTGATGTGAGGTTCATTAGTTTATTGGGTCTTGTTAGATATTTGTCCCCTAAATCTTGTAAAGAAGTTTGAGATTAGCCCTTCTGATCGTTGAAACTTCTACAAGGACCCCCAGTTTTCATAGTTTACTTTGAAACTAGTTGTGAACACTTCTGATCGTTGAAACTTCTACAAGGACCCCCAGTTTTCATAGTTTACTTTGAAACTAGTTGTGAACACCGTGCAAAGCACGACATATCATTTTTCTTTCTGCTACAGTAATCTCGATTTTTAATGCTATAGTAATGTTTTTAAACTTTTTGTTGCTACAGATCCCGGCGCTGCTACAAATTTCTAAGATGCTACAGTATCCGCGTGTGCTACAACGATTTTTTTAAAATTGCTATTTCATGTTGCTACAGTAGTATTACTATAGTATTTACTGTAACATGAATAGTAAATTTTGGGTTCTCCTATTTATATAGAGGAGTAGATTAGTTCATCCATTAAGACCATAGGTAGCAAGTAGAGCTAGGGGCTGTTTGGTGAAAAATTTGTAATAAGAAAAATAATGAAAGAATCGTATTTGATTTATTCTCTCTAACTGCTTAGAAAAAGAATGATTACAACCCTCTCAATCTCAATTACAATTGGATTTCCTGATTACAAAAGAGAAGAGAATGATCTGGATTTTCCCCTTTGTTTAATTCTGAGTTCTTCACGGTGGTGATGGAGTGCCTCCCTCGAATCCTCGCGTCGAGTTTGCTCTCCGTTAACGATCCGCATGTCTTGATTCACTGGAACAGTATCTCCTCATCACGATTTGACGCTGTGGAGAACTTGCAAGCCAAGTTTGAAACTCTTAATGAGTTGATAACTCTGAATGAGTTTGAAACTTTATGGAAAAGTTGATTTAACCGAAAGTCGGTTATAAGCCACGGATGAAGAAGCTCTTATTGCCGATCTCCAAAGCTCCAGCCGAAGGATGAATGATCTTCTTTGCTGCCAAGCCCCCAGGATCGAAAGATCAAAGAGGAGGTGCCCTTTGCTGCTCTTCAGGTCCGAAAATGTTCAAGGATCCCAAGATAATCCGCCAGCCCTTCAGACCTTCAACTCAGTTGAGTTTTTTTCGTTTTTATATGGGATTAAGGGGGGTAACCGCCCCTTAAATCACTCCTAAGTGGGGTGTAACTGCCCCCAAATCGTGGGAAACGGTTTTGGAACCGTTCAGCTCATGTTGAATGAGTCAAACAACGCTCAAGTTGGCGTTCAGGACCCTAACTCCGCGTTTTAGAGTGGAGACGCGGAGTTGGGCACCCGCTGGATGTTGAAAAACGCAAGGGTCGCCCGCGTTTTGTTTGCTGAGGGTTGAAAACACGGGGGGTCATCTGCGTTTCAATAACTAAAACGCGAAGGTGAATTCTGCGTTTTAGAAGGAGCTAATGACTTATAGCTTCTTCTGTAGAGCGTTGTAAAGACCATTGTTGAGTGATCTTTGCCTTGGCTGCTCGAAAATATGAGAGTTGTCAGATTGTAACTCCCGATGTTGACTGTGAAGGCTGTTGATTAGAGCTTTCATCGATTGTTGTGAATGTCGTCAGATTATAACCTTCATCGATCTACGTGAAAGTCTTCAAATTGTAACCTTCTGGAAATCGTCAGATTGTAACTTTCATCATCGGTGTTTGATGGGGATAAGCTATCTGTAGTAATTTTTAGACAGCCTACAGAGGCTAGTTTGGAATGACTTACGAGAATTGAGTTACATAAGGACAGCTTTATGAATTAAGGGGGACTTAATTTCCTAATAGCCATTTCAATGGTTTAAATAATTTATTTAGGAATATCAAAGATTTGATGAACTAATATTAAATAGTGGATGTAACAAGTACTATTGAGGAGTACAGGTTACTATTGCAGGCTCATGTGAAGAATCTGGTCAGAGGCTTTGAATGAATCCAGAGGACGAGTTGAGTTTTCGTATCAAACTTTATACGGAGGGGAGTTGTCACAGTCAGAGTAAATGTGGGATTAACCGGCTAGGCGGCAATAAACACTAAACACTTGAGGAGGGGGCATTAAAGAGACTTCTGGAAAATGTTTCTTTTCTTTTTCTGTATTTTAATTGATGAAATTGTCTCACAAAATATAAGGCTTAAAGATGGTTCAAACGTAGGACCTTTGAGTAGAGAGCAAACCTATCTAACCATCATGGTGGACCCCAGATGATTATTTAATAAGTTCACTTGATTTAGAATATTGTTAATTGCATAGATAAATATTAGTCTCATTCTTTCACTATTGAGAGACTTCAATTTTTAAGAAGCTACTCTACAAATGTTTCGTTTCAAATTTGATCTTTATTGTATTCAATTTCTTAGGAGTTACTCCGCAAAGCTTGTTCGGTATATTCGTTTCAAATTTGATCTTTATTGTATTCAATTTCTTAGGAGTTACTCCGCAAAGCTTGTTCGGTATACTGCATGTTTTGAAAGTTGTTTGTCTTAAAATTAAATCAAATTTCTTCATCAAAAGGCCCCATCAGCTAATTAAATGGTTTCCTCCGGTATTTGCTCCTCCTTAAAAAAAGAACATCGCATGCATTATCTACCGCAATACATTTCCTTAAGATACAAATTGCAAGAAGATTGCATCAATGTACACTATCATGGACTACTATAATGTATTTCTTTGAGATACAAATTAATGGGGGGTTGTTACTTTAAGAGGAGAAGAGATTGGAATTTGTTTTGAGGGGGCTCTCGTAATGGGTTTTAAGATTGTTTTTTCTGGGTTGTGTCTTCTCAAAGAGAACATTGCACTATATATAGAGGCTACCACATCATCTCAAAGAGAACATTGCACTATAATGTGTTTTTTCTGTGTTGTTTTTTCTGTTTTGAGGTTATTGTAGAACCTTATTGCCAGTCCTTTCTTCATTAAGCTGGGAACAGAGATCAAGTTGCGCTAAATTCCTGACGCATAGAATACATCTTTGAAGATAAAAATATTATCCTCAGGATCTAATCTATACGAACCAATATCTCCTACATTAAGATAGATATTGTTTCCCATATAGATACTTGTTCTCCTTTCTTCGGATCGATAAATTCTGTGACTCCATTCTTATCCTTTGCGATATTTGTGGTCGCACTGTAGTCGATTCACCAACCACTAATATCTGTTATCATAGCATTGTATTCTGTCACACCGACGAATTCTCTTTTGCTAATACCTCTTTGTTCCAGATGCTTATAGCCTCCCTTATTCTCCTGTTATTCATCTTGTGGGCAAGTGAGCTTGAAATGCCCGAACTTTCCATAATTGTAGCAGGCTCCGTGGGGTACTTTCTTTCTCTTGAACTGCTCTGATTTCGTTCCTCGTGGTTGTGGTTTACTAGGACCTGGGATTTTATCGCTTCCAGCATTATGCCTCTGACGGACATAATTCATCTCCTGCTGCACCATGTTCAGTTCTGGCTCTTTCCTACTGGCTATTAAGTCTTGTTCTATCGCTAGGTGCATAGAAAGATCAGTGACAGATTTTAATGACAGGGTTCATTCTTAATGTGGTGGCAGCTATAACTAAGGAAGGGGGTGGGATATTCAATATAGTTGCCACTTACATTCTCCCCAGGATTTCGGTCACAGCAGTGTATAAGTTGTTAGCCATGATAATTATCTTATTGGTATGCTCTACGATATTGTCTCCATCTTGTAAATAACAAGAATTATATTTTATGCAAGAGGAGTTGAATGTTTACTTCATAGGCGGTGTCTTGTTATTCTTTTATAGCATTCCACGTGTCCATGGAAGTCTTATAAGTTGTAATAACTTTGATTAAGTTAACTTCCATGAACATGAGCATTAGGCTTTTTGTATTTTTATCTTTAGACTTTCACTGTTCATCCCTTTCTTTTCTTCAGGTGTAGATTTATCAGTAAGGGTTGGAGCAATGATTTCGATTATATCATCGATATTATCACGAAGAAGAACATATCCTATATTTCTATGTTACATATCATAATTACTGCCATTAAATTTGTTAAAATTTTCTAGTTCTGATAGAACAAGTTTACTAGTCATTTGGTGGAGAACTAAAACTAATTTTCCTATTAAAAATAAAATTAGATATGTGTACTACTAATTAATGATAATATATATATATATATATATAGCAAAGCACTACTTTCGCAACATTCCAAGTTGACCCTTGCCTGAGTTGTGATACAGTAGTGTTTGCTCTGTTGAGCCACCATGAAGGTTAAATAGGGCGGGTTGGGGGGGAAACAAAAACAAAAACAAAAACCAAATGGACCTAAGACCATATGCAGCAGGGGTTTTTTTGTGGGATATTTGAAGGCAGCTGGGGTTTTTTAAGGGGGTGAAATAAATGAGATCGGAGAGAGGGTGAAAATTTCACCCCGGATGAATCTGACAAGCCCACGCGCGCGCCTTGATGCAAGCGGACACATGGCGAATTTCTATTGGGCAAGCTTTATTTTTTTCCTCCTTATTTTTATTTGATATTTTTTGAGATAAATACAATGAATTAATTTATAATTTTTATACCATTAATTTTCATTTTTCAAACTCTATAAATAGAGACTAACTTTGTGTCATTTGGACACAAAAAAAAATCTGAGTTTCTACACCCTATTCTTCTTCTTTCTACAATTTGAAGCTAGTTTCTTCATGGATCCTTCACAAAACTATCCTAATTTTTCCTACAACTACAACTTTCCTAACCAACCTCAAAATACCCTCCCTCAACCACAACATCCAAATATACAACGCCCCGAAAATACTCAAAATACGGGGATGCAGCCCAATTTTCAAATGCCGTATATGATGCAACCAAATTTCGGCATGCAATATCCTTATCTTCCT